ACGAAGCCGTCAGGCTTTCTAAAAAATTATTTTATTTTATTTTACACCATCAGAAAATTATGTACCAGAATATTTTATTTTAAAATTTATTACCTACGATATCATATTATTATCATGATCTTATATACTTATTAACTATTATAAAAAAAATTATTTTCAGCAGAATAAACACCGTACGCTCTGGATTGATATTTTAGAGCTCATCAAGTATTCGTTCATTGTCATAGGTTTTGGATGGCTCAAAATTAGTGGTGTTATTATTTCATTGGTAAATTACTCGTAACTTATAGTTTTTATGTTCATCAAAGAAGTGTGTGATGCAAGCTAACTTATAGACACCTCGCACGATGTGGCTAGCTGATGGAATATACATTTTTAAGAACATTTTTAACTTTGATCTTTGACCACGTGTTTACAACTGAATATCGCTTACTAAAAAGGAAAATATTTAAAAAAATTCAAAAGTTTTAAGTAAGTTACAGTTTTACTTTGAGAGGGCCGATATCCATTAGACTTAGGCTATGATCTTAGCATATACGTGATACAAATATAAACATGGTTGAACTAGTTAATCCCTTGGCTCATTTTTAATATATAAGTTGAGTAGTGCTGAAACTTATACAAACATTACAAACACATGCACCTTGTGCCGACATAGTGTCAGATCTACATTCTCAAAGTTCAAAATTTGCTTAAAATGATTGAAAATAAACATACATATATACAAATACATTTAATTTCACATAGAGTAATAATTCATAATTTCGTTTATTTTGTAGGATATCTACTATGTGATTTTATATCATAAATTAAATAAGCATAATATTGATTTAATGCACTTTTGAGTAAACGGCGTTTTAGATAGGCAATTTAGTTATAATTCTTTTAAGAGGCTGTTTTTCTTAAACAAAGAAATAATTTCATAGTGATTTGATTAATTCCTCAAGAAAAATTGTGATTATTCTTTCACATGTGGATAACACCAGACAATGTCACAATGTATTATTGTTTTTGTCTTAGACGCGACAATAATCGTATTAAAGAAAAAAAATTTTCTGACAGTACTCAGGTTTTTATTAACTTGGTTTATACAAAACGCTTGAAATGTTATAAACAAGTGCATGATTACATTGTTTTTTTTTATGCTTTTTTAGTTTTTAACAGCTTTCTAAAAAATTAATCTGAAGTTGAAGAAAATATATTTTTAAATAACAATATCTATTTGTTTGAAATTTTCAATTTAGAAAGGAGGTACCTATGTAAAACTTTTTTTCAACTTTCATAGTGCCAAAAAATGATTAAAAATAATAACTTTCTTCTTGTATATTCAATATAAAATTATTGCACTGAATGATTCTCGTTCAATTAGATAGTTACTGAGTACACACTTGTCTTAATATTAATAAAATGTAAAACTACAATACTTTATTTTCAACAAGGTACGGCGTGTAGAAACATTAACAGTTAGTAATTACATTAATATTCAAATTGTTTGTCGACCATGTTCATTAGAAGGCTATACAGTTCAGTGTTCATTGATTGGCACTATTATATCAATACCAACATGAATATCATAAAAAAATTAATTTAAATGCATATATCCATTGAGATTGAAAGTACACAGAATAAAATTTAGGCTATTAATGTATGTAATGTAATGAAAGTTTTCGAAAAAAATTGATATAATCGAGAGTCAACGTTTTTGTCGTGAAATATATTTAAAATCTTATCACCCACATACATCGTTTACTCTTATCCAACTCAAATGTTACAATATACGAGTAATTGTGTATAATTGTTTAAACAACACAGTATTTAAATAATATGTGTTTCACTATTGATTTTTTTTTTATCAATATGTAATTTCTCCTCTTTAAAATAAATACTCAATTACAAATAAGAAAAAAAAATATGTGTTGAATATAATATTTGTTTACTGAAAATTGTCGTCGATTCGTGTGTTGACTTTTTCTAGGGAACATAATAACTTACGAGTATTTCAATATATGCAACCGTAAACTTTGTGATTGTAACTTTTTTTGTGGTGTCAATATAAAATAATTCTGATGCAAACATAAGGTACGTAAAATATTAAATAACATATAATAAAATACGATAGTAATAAGCTGTATGTATTAACTATTAAGATATTAAAATATTAATGAATCACTAAGACTAATTGTGTACGGAGTTTTATGGTTTTAAAAGTTAGAAATGTGCAATAATTGTACATATTTTTGAATGAATTGTGTTTTATTGTTGATTGCTTTTTTAAAATTTTATAGTTATTTTGGTGAATACAATTTATAACACATATACATTGTACCGTGGTAAATGTGTTTTAGGTGTATACTTAGTAGGTAATAGGTATAGTGATTAGTAACGAAAAGCATAATATCTTTGGCCTTCAAATTTCATGCATCTACTATATATTTTTCAGTTGCACGCTTATTATATTTTATAGTTATTCATTGGTATTTCGTATTATTCTTATGAAAAAAATGTGATTGAATAGTTAATTGTAATTGTCAATGGGACAGGGGGCCGTAGGTACGAATGATTTCTCTTCTAAAATTGTATACATTGAAAAAAATACACTTTTAGAAGATGATTAAATAAGTAATAATAAATATTACAACCATACAAATTTAATATTTAAAAGGGTTTTTATGTTGTAACTTATAATTAAAACATTTCCTTTTAATCTAACTCTTTTTTTTTATGAAAACTTTGAACGAATATAATATGAAACAATAAATAACTTTACTATTGAGTAGTTTGTTACCTATATAAGTAATTGCAAACTCATAACTTATTAATTGTATACAAATTGAATGAATATAACAATATGTAATTATGCATACAATATTAAAATCAACGTTTATTGACTTATATTATAATATTCAATTGTTATAATTTAAGCTTAATTTTTCGATTATCTTTTTTTCTGACCTATACAAAATAAGGTAACATTTTTTGATAGTTCTTGGGAATACTTATTCTAATGTATCATTTACTATTTTAAAACTATAAACTGAATTACGTTTTAATTTTTCAATTTGTGATAAGTATAATTGTATTTCTAAAAACAATTCTACTGTGTTCAAATTTACCATATTTTTATTCACTAATTTAATGCTTTACAAATAAAATACCTCGGTAAAATTATTTTTATTTCATAAATAATTTGAACTCAATAGGTTAAAATGAAAATTAAATTATTTAAAGTGTTGTATTACACTACTATGTTCTGTATTAATTGAATTTTAATATACATTTTTAAAACTATATTTACTCATATTCATTATCCATGGATAATATCTTACGCGTATGTAAAAGATACAAACTTGTTTTGTTGTTTTTAAATAATATAATTAATATAACTATTTATTTTTTGATTTGAATATTATGTCAAAAACTCAAAACTAAGTTCCAACCAATATTACACACGTAAACACGTTCGTAATATTCATAATTAATTGATATAGGTGCTGTATGTCTGTACAGCTGTATGCACTTACTATTTATAATAATATTAAAAGTACCTACCTGGCTACCTACCGAAGTTTATCATACACTCATGAGTCGTGACTCATCTTATTGTAAAGTATTTTAGGTCCATTCACACTAATGGACAGTCGTAAAATGTATACGTTTATTACTATGATACATGTTATATTGACAGTGATTGATGGTAGTATAAAATATAATTTGAATATTAATTTTATTGTCCGTAAATGTTAAGTGAATGTTGTCATTTAAATAAAAATATGTACTTATGATGTATTATAATATTTAAACATTTCCCTACACATTCATTTTGTTGCCTGATAAAGTTAAGTTATGTTATTTGCAGGCAAGGTATTTACTGTAAAAATCTTATTTTGTTTTAACTTACATTTTATTGTTGCGAGCAAGATATTGAAAAATAATTTTAAAATAAGTCCTTAAAAATGACTTGTATATTAAAGGTATATTAATATTAATTTTATACTGAACAATGAATACGAATTGTGTGCCTTTAAATTTTTTATTAAACCTATACATATTTAATCGATAGGAATTTACGATATAGATTTCAAGTGTCTTATAAACTCTACGGAGTAAACTGAGCTTCATTCAGAATCGTTTTTTTTTTCAATAATCAATATCAAGAGTCCAATGCTTGGTCTTTGTATCCCGTTTCACTCCTTTTCCAATTCAAACAATAATATCTGTATTTCAAGAGCTGCTCGAAGAGAAGAGTTTTTTAAAATTAGATCCTAAAGTGAGCTCAAACTTAAGTCCAAGGATACACTAATATTGTTATTAATAAATTAGCAGTGGTATCTTAAATTTGTGGGAAGCTTAAGGTAACCGTCTAAACTTTTGAATTTATCAGGATCCTTAAAATGTTTAACAACAATTTACAAGATTTACGTAATATTATATTCAGTCATTTGTTAAACCTTTCAGTATAAAATTTGGTTCAGAAAAATCAAAGATCAACCAAGCTACAAAAAATTGCAATGTAAACCAGTAATGCGACTACCTAAAATCATGTATGAAAACACATTATATTTAAGGCTGAATTTAACTGCAATGAAGTTTCAATTATTTCTACATATATTGATCTAATAGCTCATTAAACATTAACGCAATAAGACGGATTGATTACTTAACTATAAAAATGTCGTACCTAATGGTTTTTAATATAAGTTAATTATTATTATTTTTTGCCCATGGCTATTTACATACTTGTATACTATTTAAATAAAAACGAAAAAAATTAGAATTTTTAAATTCATTATAAATGAATAAAAATATGATACTATATTATCTACAAAAGAGTAGCAATACAAATAACCATAGGAACAAAAAAACAAAACAAAAAAAAATTGACATATTATACTTCACAATTATTAGAGAAAACATAATATTGTATTTATTTGAGGCATGGGAGTGAGTACCGAAAGTATTTAATTATAATTTTATAAATATTACAAAATGTATATCACAATATGTAGGAACCAAAGGCAACCACAATTAAAGAAGCATTAGCCAGATGGCAGGAAAAAAACAAAATACCACTCGCAGAAGCTTTATATGTTGGTTTGCAATTCCAATGGCCACCAATTGAAAAGATGGATGCTAACTTAGGCGCTTTAAAGAATTGCGAGTAAATTTAATTTAAAAAAAAAGAATAGTTATATTTTATTTATGTTAACAAATTATTAATTTCCAATAACTTCGGTGTCTTTCCTTTTTTTTGAGACTTAACTGGACTTACATAATATTAGTATTTGAAATATTCTATATATAATTCATTTTCAATTTATATTTTTCCTGGTATGTGTATTTTGATATGTGTTGCAGAAAATTATCATTGAGCACAAATTGTATCGAAAAAATAACTAGTCTTGACGCTTTAAGAAACTTAAGAGTATTATCATTGGCACGAAATAACATAAAAAGTTTCACTGGGATAGAGAAATTGGCTGATACTTTAGAAGAATTATGGATATCTTATAATTATATTGAAAAACTGAAAGGTATTATGGGCATGAAGAAACTGAAAGTGTTGTATATGGGTAATAATTTAGTCGACAGTTGGAATGAGGTGCAAAAACTTTTAAAATTGGAAACTCTTCAAGAGCTAGTACTGACCGGTAACGGTTTTATTATTCATAAATTTTGTTGTAAAAATGAAATGGGATAATTTTTTTTAGGTAATCCAATACAAGAGTCTATGGAAGAAACTATTTGGCGTACTGAATGCGTTAAGAGACTAACGCAAATATCAATATTGGATGGAATTCCTATCATAAGAGAATAAAAATTATCAATAATATTATGTGATTCGATTTTTGGCCACGAAATATTAAACTAAATATATTATTATATTACAGAAAAATCACTTATAATTTACAATTGAATTATAAAAACGAAAACAAGATATTTTTTATTAAATTCTTAAAGAACAAAATACCTACTCAATAGGTTTGAGTTAGGTACCCCGTACCTATCATATTTTAGCCCCGATTTAATATGTTTTTTTTATAGTATAGGCGTATAGCCTATTGTGTTTTTATCATTAATTTATTTTAGAGTGTTATACTATACTGTTTGATTGTTGAATAATAATAATAATAATATTTTATTGTAATAATAGAAATATTTGCACTATTAACAGTTCTGTAAATTTGTTGTGCTTGGCATAAAATCGTTGTATTAATTTTTTTTTAGTAATTCACCGCCTTAATTTAAATGTTCAACTAACATTGTTATTAAACATGTAAAATATCGAACAAATTTAAAATGAAAAGCACATTAAAAAATGTAAGCTATTAAGTAAACCTTACCTAACTGATGGATTTAATAAATAATTGAGTTTGAAATTATATTATCTATAATTTATATTGATTTAGATCACAGGTTCTCAAATTTATTTCATCCATCGCCCACTTTGAGAATAAATCATTTTCTAGAACCCCTCAAAATGTTTTAAACTTACCATCTGCGGACTCGGTGGTGTATTGAAGGGGGACGGGTGTGCTAGATCCCCCCATTTTAAAAATGTTATAAATTAGTGTTCTTGTAGTGTTAAAGGGTTACAAGGAAATAAAAAAATTATGTCCAGGATTTTTGAAAATGTTTATTTGGTCACATCCAATAAACGGTACACTATTACACTAATGACTAATTAAAATTTCTTCGGGGCTTATACCGGCCTCTGGGAGACTATCAACGCCTACAGGGGGGTGATATCACCTCTTTTTGAGAAAGTCTAATTTAGATGGTGATTTCAAAGTCTAAGACAAGTCAACCTTGTAATATTAATGAAAACTGTACAAAAGTGATTGAAGCAATAAAATATTTAATACGACAAGATCAGTATTGTACGTTTGTGACTACAACTTTGCCAAGAAACATTTGCATTTCATGGATATAGTTAAATTCTACCATCCTTCAATTGGTACTTTATCTCGATAAACTAATGATATTTATTTCTTCTCTGAGGAATAGTCCCCAAGCCTCTGCTGGCTATATCTCATAAAACCTTACTTTACGGTGACGTGAGGTCTTGCACTCCATATGTGCTGAACTCGATAAATGAAAGACAGCAGAAAAGTCGAACATTATCGTTAGCACCTCACCGTCGGTCAGCCTTTCTTCAAAAATCTAGATCCACGGTAATAGCATCAACCAGAAACAACGCAATCATAAACTCACCTCCGATCTAACTGCCGCCTCTGGGCTACACGATTATAGGTTTCTGATAGATGTTATTATTGCAATCGTGATAATTTTTTTGTAGCTGAGTTCAATGCATTTAAATGCAAAATAATATCTTGTTTTTTAAAAATGTAAATTATAACTGTCTTAAGTTCAGCATTGATTTGAAAAATTGTCTAGAAATCTACCACCGAAATTAACGCAGTATGCTTGTGTGTACACTAAATTGCCCGAATGTCCGTACTAATTTAGTAACCCAGTTATACCTTCGATGTCCTTATTTTACCTGAAACCTAGCTGTCTAGTCATATATTGAGTACCTAATGGGTTTGGCTTTGAGTGATTAACTATTATTAAAAGTTTTAGGAATATGCTTATAATTATCTTCTTGCGTGGTGGGTTGTGTCGATTGAGGTAAAATTAGATTTTTTTCAGTGTATATGAAAATTGCCAGGTTTTAGCTAGGGACTAAAGATTAAAGAATATTTATGTACAAATATATTTATGAAATCACGGAGAATTTTAAAAGTGAGGCAATTTGACGATCGCAGAAGTTTTAAATGAAAAAATGATCAACCCATGGACCAGATGATATATTTAACGGTTAACAAGTTTCAGAGTCTTATATAAACAGCAATGTCAGTTAATGAAACCGATGGTGATGTAATAACCTGGTAGTCGGTAAATAAGTCCATCGAATTCCCGAATAAAATCAGACAGGAAGGTTAGGTTAGTTTAGATTATAAAAATAATATACTCAGGTAGAAAATGATTCAATTCAGTAGGTATTTAATTAATATTATGAAAGTGCATGATATAAAATGTAGGGAAAACACTACTAAGTATTTATTAATGAAAATTTCTGAAATATAGTAAATAGCTATGATTTAATAAAAGTATAACTTACAATTTTTAAAACGAAATCGATAGTACATTATATTTGATATCGAAGATTAACTGATAGTAAATAGGTAAAAAGAACCAACATTTTCAAGTCTAACTATAATGTTAATAGTTAAGTTAAAAATAATTTAAGGGGTATTCAATTTTTTGAATGAAGAAAATTAATTAAGGGGCTTTATCCTGGTAAAAAAGGGTGTCAAAATTTTCCTCTAAATATTAATTCTTATGATAAACTGTAATACGCTGCTTACATTACATCTAATATTTTGCCTATACTTTAGCCAGAAGATTCTTAACAGGATTTCGGTAATAGATTTCTTAACTTTGTCGAAGTATAATAATTACTGTTAAGATATTATTGTACATGGGTAATTGGCATACATATAATATACGTTTAAAATGTTTCTAATACTTTCTATCATTTTTATTACAGAACAATTATAAGTTATAACCTATCATAACCTATGATATATTTTACTATGAATCAAATTTAAGAAATAGTCATTGAATAGTTCTTAAAAAAAAACATAAAAATTGAGCATATAGAATAAAAAAAATTGTTTCATATCTATGTGACATATTTAATCACACCTATGTACGTGAAAAGTATAAACAGCTAATATTTAATTCATTTAAACAGATTATGTTTAAGCATTAATTTCTTGAAATACTAACAAAAAAATATAATTATTGATAGGTATACAGTCTTATGTGAAATTAGGTACTGTGTTTAAATATGACAATAATTGTTTGTGTTCCCTGTTTCGTAGTAGTTTGAGTTACATCAGTTGGCCTTTCCACCTTCTATATAGTGTAACTGTGTAAGTATATGATTTTGTTCCAAGTGGTGAAGACAATTATTTTTTGTCCTATGCTCTCTGCTGAGTGCAATGCTAATTGTTAAGTGTTATGAGTCGTTAATAGGTACTCACTCTACTACATTGTTTCCTTATAAATTCTATTATAGTTGATCAATATCGATTTGTTGTGCATAAAAAAGAGCGATTACACATTAACTGCGGGACAACAATCTGATGTTATACGATTATAGTGACAAAATATACTCTTGTAATACACTTGTTGTACACTTGTTCACAAATAATAACTCGAATATATAATTTATATTATTTTGTGTTATGCGTGCCATATCTAGGTGCACTATATACGGTGACCAGTGGGGTACACCTTTGTCCTCATAGTGGGCACTTACATCATATTTTATTCATCACACAGTCATTTCGTGTTCAATTATGACGAACAATGGACTAAACAGGTATCCAGCGGTGTCATTTAATTAAATATGGAGTAGGTTATTGTTTGAAAACCAACTATACACCGGTAATCGATTGAAGAATAATAAAATAATTTATTGCTTACAGTGTTTACACAGTTAATAACAAATTAAATAACATCAGTTATTTGTTTGCTAAACATCCACATTCGATAAACTGCATATAGGCTTACCACTAACGCCGAATGTTATTATATTTCAATTATTGTCCAGAGCGACTTTTGGGATTGCGACCGCATCTATACAATCGCGTTTGTGGTTATATTCGGCTATCGGTTCAAACACGAAATTATTATGTTTTTATCGTTTCTACAAAATCGTTAATTGGATATGACTGGGCGATAGCCGAGGCCGGTGGATTTAACTGTACAACGATTGCTATAGTCTATCTTACATGTCCTAGATAAATCGAAAACGCGTTAAAAGCCAAATGGGTTTTGTTTGGGTTTGGCATTAGTGAAAGCGTCTTAACGAAACAATAATAACATTAACTTGGGATTTTTTCAGGGACCTTATGTGTTCCCTTATGTCTGGAAAATAATAATTTGTCATCGACGTTGTTGTGTTGGTTATACTTAGATATATACTATCTAAACGTCACGTATAGTATTGGTTCGATGTATGTAGACGCCGAGGGTGACACGTTCAGATCAAGTATTCAAGTCACCGAAGAGTCGTACACAATAATAAAAATAAGAACAAAAATAATTAATAATAACAATAATAATTTTAATAATAGAAATAATAATAATAATAATAATAATAAATAATAATAACAAAAATAATACACAAAGATAATTAAACATAGGTATTCATTTGCACGTTTACTTGTAATCCCTTCTCTCGGGTGTTCGGAAGGATTCTGCGATTAACAGTGATATACAAATGAGTAATGACTAGATAGGTACGATTACATCATAACACAGAACAGCTATGTTATCCAGTGGGGAAAAATAATACTATAACAATCGAAACAATTTTGTAACGTTTCGAAAACATTTTCGAACGCATTATAAAAAAAATAATTGTCCGAAATATTAGAAATATTTATCCGTAGACCCGTGTCGTGTAATAATTTTGCCGTTATAAGTCTTTTGCTATATGTATTTAAAATATTTTCAAAATAAATTATAAAAATGCTCCGTATGATTGACATTGTGGTTGGTTTCGGATCGATGATAAATCTGCCCGGTCGGCAAACTCTGTTGGGCCGGTAAAAAACAGACTCGGGGCCGCCTACCCGATGGACAGTCGGACCCTGATGGGTTGTATTATTTCCTTGGGTGGCCGGCACACGTTTCTTCCGGTTTCCGGACAGCAAAGGTCGGGCAGGCAGTCCACGGTGGTCCTGCACTTCCGCGGGAACAGATCGTAACGCTTGGGCGGCGGTGGGCTGCACTGCAGGTACCGCGGCCTGCTGGACCGGAGGCCTGTGAACACGATCATCGTAATAGTATTGTCACTGTCGATTCTGCAGCAGCCACCTGTATTTCGTACCACGTGGTTGCAAAATTTTAATATAAAATTTGCCTCCGGAAAAACATTAATACTCAGGTATACCTACTACGCTGGGTATACGGTCGGTACCCAAACGGCGATACAGTGGTTACTGTATTTTCCAAGTGTACGATGTGTACTCTCTTTTTTTACCAAATTGTTGAATGAAATATTATGGATCTAAGACATTTCTGATACGCTTAATGACGGTTATGTCGAACATTTCGATGTACCTATCTACTGAAATAATGGTCATAGTATATAGTTTCCTATGGTTGTTCTATTTTATGCACTAAGGATAATGTGGATAGCGAAATTTATTAAAATATTATAATTGGAATTGGAATACCAATAATTATAGCTAATGGTTAGAAATGAAATAAAAACTATAAATCTGATTAAATATTTGGTCTAATTTAACCTAACCTATAATATTATGTGTTTACTTAAGTTACGCCATATACGTTTTAGTTACAGTCCATATAATATGTTCTTAAGTTCTGAAACTGTACCTGTTTATAATTCATTTAACTACTTCATGTTATTGAATGTATTAAAATAATCAATTGTACATAGTTATAGTGATCAAAGTTGAGTTTATCAGAAACTACGAATTCAAATTCTAATGCATCGACATACTCCAACAATTCACTAACTATTAAGATTCGTGTTTGAAAACAATTTTTTTTCACCCCAGGATACTTTGTAGAAATCTAAATAGGTATTTGGAAATAATATGGTCGTTTTGTAGTATACTAGAAAATTCTAAAAATCAAAATTTGACTAAATGAACATCGATAAATGAGTACTCTTAAATAATCAGAAGTCTAATGGTTATACACGACAAATCAATACAGAACTCTGGGGAAAAGATTCATAGTAATACTGGTGCAAGCAACTTTAGATAATACAAAATTCATAAAAAAAATATCAACCAAAGTCCGCCTTTGTATAACTAGACGATATAGAAGAGTTTATTGGCTTTATACATTTATATATTTTTTAACGTAAGTGATTTTAAAATATAAACAATCTTACAGGAAATGCTAATTCAGTTAAATGTTTTCAGTCATTTTTTGGTAAATTATGTGTTTTTATAATTTTTGTCATGCGAACGTATACGTCGTTGACGGAATAGTAATATTATATAATAAAGATTATTTTACGAACGCGAAATGAATAATAATATTCAAGAATTCATTTGCATGAATTTAAGATAATAATACCATAAGTATAGAAAATGAGTAAACATTTTCTACACATTGCATTTTTCATCTAACAACACTACGTTCCAAATCCTTTTTATATACGACTCAATATTGAGTAGATAAGTAATAATTTTATCAAAATAAAATTTTGAAGATAAACTTTTTTTATAATACTGAGAACATATAGTCTCTCTGAGAGTCTCCTTTTGAGACGCTTTTAGTAGCACGAACATCGTATCATATCATATTTTTTAAATTGGCTGTTATAAATGTCCAAAGGCTTATGATAGTATGCTAGTTTCTTAAAATCCTTTTTTATAGTATTCCAAAAATTAATAGAATGTAGCACATTAATTAATAGAACTATATAATACCTATATGGTACTTTTGTTATTTTCACAACGTAACTTCTATTGTTGATGTTTTATAGATAAAATATTACAATGATATGTAAATAAATTCCGTGAGGTTTTGACACACGAATGGTGAATAGTAAGCTCAGAGTTAATTGTTTTGTTTATAATGAGTAATGACTAACGTCGTAATTTTAGGTGCTTAAAAAAGTTACGACCACACGATTTTGATTACTGTGTCCGATTTACGTCCCTCTGCGAACGACGATTTTTAAGGCCCGACACGGTGGTGGTTGATTTCACGGCAAAAAGTCGTTAAAGCTGTTTTTATTTTTTCAATTGCATTTTTAGAACCGTATTTAGACCTTATAGTTTATACCTATTATTAATATGTTCAAGTTAATTCACATGCGTCAAGGTTCGATAGTATACGTAGGTTAGCGTTTGAGGGTTATTTGAGAGTATTGCTAAAAATGGTTTATTAGGATGTAAACAGATATCGCCACACCGATCACAATAATTCTTTATTTGGTTTGAATGTTTTTCAGTTCAGTCTGACTTGAAGTACTATTATCATTATAATTATTCTAATTATTATTATGTTATATAGAAGGTTCTGACTATTGAACAACAATAGATCATGCTTATTTAGTATGTCATAAGATAGCAGTGAAAGGCCGCTGTGCAACATTTTTGGAGTTCAAAACACAACAATTAATGGGTATGCATACGTTTAGCACGAGTTTTTATGTTTTTGCAATTTATCGATTTATATTTATCTTAATTCGATTTCAAAAAGTTATAAATAGTATTAAAATGCTCCAATCTCAATCTATTCTATACATTATTCAATGTATTGAATGGAAATTGATTTTTGACTTTTTTCATTATAGTGACGACGTACTTAAGCTGAAACATACAATTTATGTATTGCACAACAGGAATCAGAGAAAAGAATTCGAGTCGATCACTTTTAATTTATCCCTAATATATTGAACTCACTGAATTCCTTAAATGTTCTTTAATATCATTTACTTTATACTGAAACAACATTTTTTTTTTAAATGATGGGAAATTTACATATTTTAACTTATCATAAACAATTTGAATATATGGAATTATTCCAATAAGAAAGTTCGGCAATATTAAAACAAACAAAACTGTTTTGAAAGTAATTATTAAAGATTCTAAAATAAGTGAGTATATAAACTTTATTGTACAATTTTACCCGATTAGAATTTTAAGAAAAGGTTTTTATTTCATTAACTTTTATAGAAAAAATTAGTTTCCTCAAAATGTGCATATTATACCCTATAAAGTAATAACTCGTATATGTAAAACGTATATGTAAATTGTACAAACAAATCACTACTTACAGCTAGCTTGCCATTGTCTATGGTAAGGTATATTTAATTTTATTGTAATTAAATTAAACATACATTAAAAAAAAAATAATTATATCATAGTTTGTTGTAAAATAATTGTTTGACACATGACACATGGCTATTATTTAGACGTATTTATTTGTTACTTATTTTATCATGAAAGCTGATGGATATTATAGTTTATTATTTTTGGTTATGGGTGAAATATTATAGATACATCAAATAATAAGAGTTTCAGTAATATTATCGTATCTGTTCAGAGTCTTACATTTCATGGGTTGAATTGTAATAAATAATAATTTATAATAATGTCTTTGATGTTTCTTAAATATCATATACCTACGTATACTCAGATGCAGAGCTTTTCGAAAATATGGATTCATAATAAACTTTATGTCAAAGTTTGAAAATGGAAATGGAGCTTTATTTAATTTAAATTGGATTCAATAGTGGGTAAATGCCGTTTCTCAGTTATCGTTTATATAGAAATGTAATTAGTATCAAAGTTCAATGGTCTAAAGCAGCACTCCGTTTATAACAGGTATTACACAGCACGAGTGAATATTACAATACCTACTAATTTATTGTAAGCACTTATTACTTAGTTTTTTTTCAATTTCTTTTGATCAATATAGTTGAGAAATTTCTAGTGCAAGATTTAGAAAATTCGATCTTTTTGAATTATTATTTAAAAATAGAACTCTGTTTAATTCCTCACAGATGCATGCATAATATTGTATAAATATTTCGTTGTCGTTTTTTCTGTTTAAAATGTTCAATTAAGGTTAAGTTAAGACATTTTTTTAAAATTATTAAATTATTGTGAACATTTATGTGTATTCATCTCGGACTTCAATATTAGCTGTACATTTTTTTTGAAATTCCCAACTAAGTGGATAATACCTATACTTTTTGAAATTATAAGAATGAATAAATAACATACTTAAAAATGTAATTATTTAAGATACAGCATTGATAATATATCAAGACATTTAATATCTTTCATTGTTGTTAAGGTATATTTTATAAAAATGTATGTTAAAATACAATTTATTTTTGCAATAAATTTAATTTATTTTATAACAACAAGTTAAAATGAATAATGTATTTTGAAATTTAAGAAGTATAATAATATAACACTTCATATTTTTGTATCTGATTGGTGTAATGTCAAAAGTGCAGTAAGATAAACAGTGCTTTTCTCGTGTCCTTTTTACTGCGGTTGAACTCCTGGCAGTATTAGTCGAGTAGGTACTAAAACTAATCAAAAATACATATTAAAAAATATGTTGATAATATGTTTTTATTTATTATCGTGTTGTAATTGAAATATAATATAGTCTTTTGAGAGAAATTGTACGTATCAGTTTAAGATTGTTCTGAATTTATTATTTAACATACAATCAAACATTTTATCAAGTATAATAATTACATCAATGTACTATCAGTTTTTAAATACGGTTTATTAATTTTATGTATTGTAAGTACTTACTTTTTGCGATGGTTTTCATTAAATCGTTTCTCCAACTTGGCAAAGGAATTCGACAATATTTTTGACCGTTCAGTCCTCCGTATCCACAACATATCCTTGGCCAGCAGTCTCTATCTGAGTCACAATGTTGCCGAGGGAAAACTGGAGGTAATTCGAATCCAGGGCATGATTTATTGTTCAGTTGAAAAATATTTGCTGAAATGAACCCACAAGTGAAATAATGTAGGTAACATTAATAATAATAATAATAACAATAATAAACATGATTTAAAAATGATATGGATCAGATAAATTATTAGTTGTCATTATTAAAGATAATCAGTCCATAAAAATAATAAAGTTATCTTTCAACTATACATTTTATAAGAAAGTGATAAATATTGGAATTTGTTTCATTTAGAATTTAAAATTTAAATGTATTCCTGTTCACATTGGAGTGACGGCACACTGGATGGTTCTTCTCCTACGCCTTTGAGCTTTTTTTAATGTAAATAAATGAATGCTACACTTATCCTGAATGCATCACATATTATGTGTAGTTACATTTTAAGAATTTTGAATAATATGATAAAATCACTCATATCAAAAGTTTCTAATTAGAAAACGAATAGTATTGGATGACTCGTTTGAAATACACAATAGAGTTTAAGCAAAAGTGTATAGAATAACAGAATAACAATAATAAATAAATTGTAAATGTTAAACGTTAATTTATTTTATTAGAAAGAGTGCTCTAGAGCGCTTAATTTCTTGAATATTATTTATAATTTAAAACGATGGAAGCACCGAAGGTAATTCTATGGATACATTTTCACTTTTTATACCATATTTGAAATTTGTTTACAAATATTTTTACAGTATTATGTTGTTATAAGCTAATACATCTTATCTATAATGTAATATAAAACGGATAATTGGAAAAAAATAATATCCTACCATGATCCGGGTTTTCTTGTTGGAGGGAAAATAATATGTTAGAATGTTATTATTATTACTATTATTATTATTTGTTATCTGAATATTACTGCAGTACCGTACTTTTAAGATGGCTAGAGTAGAGAACTACTTAAACGTGTTAAGTATGTATAAATTTGTAACCACTAAGTATATTATTATGAAAATTAGAAATCAGAATACTTAAGCAGCTCTAATTATTTAAAAAAACAAAAATTGATTAGACTGGGTTCATACTTAAAAGAAATATTTTGAATTGTAAATGGACAAAAAGTTTATTGTTCATCACTACTTATTAACCAGTAGCGTGTTTTCAACTTTTTTTCTGGGGGGATTGGGGAAGGATAATTTTGTTAGTTCTAACATTTTATCAGTATTTTAAATTAGAAAATTGTTATTTATTTATTGTTATACTTCACATCTTTGTATGAACATCATCTATATTATATTATAATAAAATGTCAAATTAAAATGTCAATATTTTTAGCTTCCTATCCTTTTTTTTGGATTCTGGGCGGGGTGTGGTCCAGGGGTACTGAACCTCCCCGTAAATACGCAACTCATATTGACTCAAAGTATTCGATATTGTTAAGTGAGCACAATGATTTTATATTGATTATAATGATTTTATCCACCAAAATTTTAAAAATTATGTAGTTAGGTAATATATTTTAATACTATTTGAACGCGATTCTAAATTTCAGATAATAGTGATCTCAAAGTTATTTATTTAAAAATCGTATACATTTATTATCTTGACTTAGTATTTTTTATATACTATTATTGTGCACTTTATCGTTGTTTAATGTAACTTCTATTTCTTAGAATTCTTTTAATATTAATGACTGTTATTGACTAACTGTTTCAATAAAAGTGATATAAACAACATGATTTAAATAATATACTGGAAATATAAAATAATAGACAATTGAAACTGTCTTATAATCCTATTTCATGAATCAAATTAAATTTAAATTTGCTAAAATATTTTGAATATTAGTCAAAAAGGAATTGTTTTTAGTGTATTTTTTCAGATATTAATGTTGAAGGTAGTAAAAATCACTTATATACTTGAGTTGTATAGGTAGAGTTTATATTATATTAATTAGAGACAGATTTGAATTTTTAAGCAACGTTTGTAAACTTTCAGTAGTTTCTGATAAAACAACAAAATTCTACGAGTTCTAATGAGATTTATGACAAAGTGTTATCACTCTCCGTTGTAAAAATATACATGAATTCGCTATAAAATAATAACAATTTTATTCTCAATTTATATTTTCATAATTTGTATCTATTTATTAATTTATTAGTTTTTGTGACATTGTTCATATAAAAATGTGATAGAATTTAGTGAAACTTTTACAACTTATTCTATCGCTTAAACTTTATTTTATTTTAAATTATTTAAAAATTATCAACACTTCAAAATGACTTCAAAATAGAAACAGTAAATCAATTAGCCACAAAACATTATAAAAAATTTCACTCTAAATTACAGTCTCACTTTAACCCTTTAATCGCTGAATTTGCTTCCAACTCACTTTTTAGTAATCTCCCACGCCGCGCCGTCTACAGAGAAAATGGTGTCGTGATTTATTAAATGATTGATCGTTTAAACCATTTACTTTTAATTTAATTTATGTTAAGTTAATAATTAATAAATAAATAAAATAACGTTGGGTTCTATCACTGGATGGCCTCCCTCCTCATGTGTTCAAGTTGTAAAAAAAAATATTTTCTATGTATGTGTTCAAATTTGCTTATTATGCCTTTTAGCAGAGATTGTAAATATTCTTTTTAAATAAAAAAAAACCAAAAAAAAAAAGTTATCAAAACGACATTTTATCACGACTAATCAGATATGAAATATTTGATTAAAAATGTTATTATTGTAGGTAGTTTAATAAAGAAACGTCAAACGTAACCTTAAATATTAACCTTTAAAATGCATGATTTAAAAGTATCAAACATGCGATCAATCATGATCAGTGGCATACGTGGCATATGGTTTAACGGTATTTGGTTTTTGTTGTTATTGTTGTTAGATTGATCGACCCGTTATGAAAAGAGAAACAAAAAGCATTTTTATTGGCAATACTTAATTTACAAGTGTACATACTACATAATATGTCCAAAAAATAACTAAATACCTAATGTATATGTAGGTAATTATTAAGTTCCATTTAATAACAATAATTTAAATACTCGACGATTTATATTCAGTTGAAATACGTTACTATATTATTAAGTGTGTAACATTTATTACCAGGGCAGTCTGACATAATACAATTCAAGCCAATAGTTTTTAACTAACAAATATCTGTACATCAGGAAAAAATATTTATTACAACAAAATAATTGATTATACCGTTAATATTATTATAGCTTTTGATCTAAATATTAAATAAAATATAATAAACCAGCATAATATTAACAATACATTTGACATGCAATCAACGGTTCATTTTTGTTAAGCATATGATTGCCTGTGCTTTAGTCAGCTGAAGTTGAGAACCTATAGTATATGATTATATTGGGTAGTCTCTACCAATTTTCGGGCCCAGTGGTGGTAATCTGATAAGGAAAATCAATAAAACGAAATTTGTGGCTTAGTGAGCGGTGGTCAATCTGCGGAAACGTTCTGAACGTACCGGCTGGTTTTGCTGGTTCCCGGATGGGTGACCACCTGGAATTTTTAGCAACAAATTCCTTGCCACACGTACAATATGTGTTCTAAAACCAACCGTTCCCTCCTGCAAACAGCTAATGGCCATAGTTGTTAGCCTTCAGTTCAATAAAAAAAGAAAAAAGTTGACAACAAAATATTAATTGGTACCACTAATAATGACATTGTTGTTTCGTTGCACAATCCACACTTTTTATTTTTGTTAAGATATCAAATTCTTAATTAAATATGTTTATAATAAGATAATCCTTAGCATAATAGTTTAAATATATATATAGACGTTTTGCATGAATTGTTTTGAGATTTCTCAATGATGAATCTCTGGAAAAAAAAAACCCCTTAAAATAGACTTATATTATTATTGTAAAACCAATAGTTTCTTCTTTTATTTATTACACACACAGTCCAAAACTATACAACTACAGGTCACTGGTGTACTGAACACATGATGTAATTTGATTTTTATCAGTTTATGACAAGAGTATTATAAAAAATAAGGTTTTTGCATGTATTATTATTTATAAATTAATTTTCAGCCAATAATTAAATAATGAAGCCTGGTGAATTTGGCTAAATATTTGGTTATTATTCCGTAGAATGTAACTAGTTAAAAATTAATTATAATGTATCGTTTGTTAACTAACTCAATACATTGTTCAAAACGTGTGTTTACAAATTATATTCAGTATGTGTAAGGAGAAACGAGCCAATTAAAATTTACGGATTCCTTACTTAAATTATGCTTACTACTTAAATAAAATATCAAATGAAATTCAAACGAAATATGAACAAATGTTATTATATACACTATACGAAAGGGAAAACCTATTCAATAAAGAAAACCGAAATCCCATTATATTTTATGCTTTTAGTTGAAATAATTGTTTAAATAATATGGAAATTCACATTATATAGACGTGTCAACATTTTAAATATTGTTTTTTAAATATTTTAAAGTTTTGTTCTAAGACGAAATAAAACATTAGTACAGTGTAGGCAGACAAATAATTACCATTAGTTTGAACCACTTTATAATAACATGTATCAGTAACATTTGAATCAAACATATTACTATTGAGTACCCACAAAGAACCAACGGTTAGCTGATATTGGTGATATTTAGACGTTATATTTTGAACTCTGCAGTTCAGATGAAAAATAGTCCTAAATAAAATCCTATAACTCGAACCCCGAAACATTTCCTGTATGCACGCCATAAAGGATATCGAAAGCAAAATAAAATGAATGGCACAAAAAATGCCCCTAAAAGAAAAAGGTTTACAGTAGTCAAGAAGTGAGGTAGCAGATTTCCGTTTTTTTCTACACTGAAAACTACGTACTATTGAAACTCAAGAAGATGGATATATCGGTGGAAATTTTTGATAAAAAAAAAAGTACGGGAAATAAGTGAAATACGTAAGATGAGGTTGACGCGATGGGTGGGGGCGGGGATCGTTTGGTCATGATAGATCAAAAGGTGACGGCAGCCGTCACAACAAAAAAAAATCGTCGAAAGTCACGCGGAGGTCGTGAATTCCACGGACTTGTGAAATCTAACTATATGCTTATATTATGTCGATAAAATAAAACTTTTCAAAGTTCATAGAATATTTACGAGTCTGTTGTGAACCAACCAACAATAGTGCGGGTGAGATCTCTTTACCTTAGATTTTGTAAACACATTGAAACAAGTTCAAGATCACATTATTACGTTGTAGGTGTATTGATTTCAACAAACGGAATGTAACACACAGAAAATATTCGTTGTGCTTGTAGTATTATCGACAATTGCACAACGGTATGAGATTATTATTTTGGTACAATCATAATAATTTAATAATATGATAAATGTGGACAGTAATATTTCGGTTAGAAAATTCATAAAAATCACTATAAAACATTAAATGTAATGAAAAAATTGATTTACAATACAGTTACAATACATGTTCTAAGGATTAAAATTATAACAATACAATTGTATGAATACGAACAGTATTAGTAAGTGTCGTATGTTGCTTCGATTATATTTTTTCCATGTTTTCAAAACGTTTTTAATTAAATTAATTGTATACATCAAAGTTATATCAATTGCAGAGGGATTTATTCAACTTAAAAATACAAATGCTCAATTCTCGTCTTACATTTAAGTTACAATATAAAATTATAAAATATGGATTGCGCAAGGTACAGAATTGATTCTGTGTATATGTGTAATGTCTGTTAAAAAAAAATAGAAATCCGGACGAATTTACTCAGTTTGAGTGTGCGGAACAGAAAATATGTCGTTGCGAATTCATTATTTTAATAGTTGTTTTGTACCTTTGTAAGTTGACTGAGGTCAACATAGGTACCTGCATAGTTTCTTTAAAATGTTTTCAAAGTAATGGGTTTTATCCGGGAAATGTCATGGACTTTTAAATCTTCTTAGAAAACTACTGAAAAAATAAGAAAGTGGTTTTTTTTTTGGACGGATTCTTAGGAACATTATTATTCTCTGAGACGGCGGTGCGGGGTAGCTTACGTACGTTTTTTGGTGGTTGTCCAACTCGTCGATGGGACGGCGTCTTGTCCGTCTGGTTCACATCTACCTCCGTCACAACTCAGGTCTACATCCTCTAGGCTGTTGATTGATAGGTCGTCATCTATAACAACCAAGACACGAAATATATAATAATTAAAAAAATAGTTATAATGGCAAAATCCGAAATTGTAAGTCCTAGGACTTACACAATGCCCAAGCATTTTTAGCAGAAATTGATCATTTCAAAACTGTATTTGGCCATTTGTCCTAATTTATAAGGGAAGTTAAAGATTTGACTGAGTCCTTTAATGTATGTTTTAAGTAAACGCCATACCCGCATGTGCTGTCAATTTGTTACAACTCTTTACTTAACAGTTATCAGAGCAAGATATAGATAGGTGTGTATGAACTCAATATATTTGGAGAGGCCCTCCCCCATCCCAAAAATAAGGACAATTTATTTTTTATTTATTAAACAGCATTAATTGATTTGTCACATTAATCTAAATGATAAAATAAAAAGATGTCCGATAATATTCTAAGTAAGATTTTTAACTTTTTAAGGAAAGAAAAATTGGAAAACTCGGAAAAAACTGAAAGGGTTTTTTTTCATTTGGATTTTTGTATAGGTATAAATGGTTGCCATAGGTTACATAGTATAATATAACTGATCGGATATAATAATTTTAACTTTAGTTTTGATATTCGGTCACTTTATATATTTAACCTTCGTTGGTTTATCCAGAGTTAATAGACACAATAACTATTGGAACATTTTCAATAAAAAGTTATTTCAACAGATTCCACGAGACTTGGAGAGTCAAGCATGATTTTTTTTTCAGCTCTCAAAGAAAGAATATTTTTTTTGTTAATTTATGTGGTTACTATTGGTTTCATCACTATAACAATTAGTAGATAATATATTGTAAATACATTTAAAAATAAATATATTTATAAAAAAAACAAATCCTTAGCACCTGAAACGCGGCACAGCTAGTAATAAGCTAGTAATTTAATAACCTAAAATTTAAATCGGGTACCTAACCTAACATCAGTTCCTTAATAAAAATACGAATTTCTTAGACATTAGTTAAGTGACTCAAATTAGTAAGTAATACAAATTATTATTTTATTTTAAAAATAAAACTTAACCATTTAATTTTCGAAGTAAATCCAAGTCGATTGTACATAATATACCAAGTCGTATACAGATAATCGTTTATTGGAGTTTTCGATGATATTGTTACGATCGGATAAGCCGAGGCGCTCAGCGATTTCAATCTTAAAAAAATGAAGTTTTAACTTCTAATTTATATATTTTTTTAATACTACGTGTAAATTCAAATTACATAAAATATTCAGTATTTACTTTTAAATAGTTTAAAAAAAATAGAACACCGTAAATCCGACTCTGCAACATAGTATGACAACTATAGAAAACTATTATGTAAATAGTATTGAACGGTGGTCTTTTCGGTGGTCGTTGTCGTTGTTGGCTGTGACAGTTTATCGTCGTTGATGCATTCTAGTAATACTTAATAAACTTTAGAGAAACGGAGATCTTGGCCAGGAAGACCGTATAATAAGACAAAATGTGTAGGTACTAGATTATTATTTTTGAGAAAATTGAAAAATATCATTAAAATTTACATTTCTGAAAATGTATTTTTTTCAGTTATTCGCTAACAATCAGAAGTTTTATGTCGATATAATTTTTAAACGAGTGATTCTGGACATGTTTCCTACTCGAATACAACCTATCATGAGACCTAAACTTAGTGTTTGCACAAATGTAAAAAGAAGAAACATTTTATGAATAATTAAGATTATACCTATAATAGTGACAGTAACAAAAAAAAGATAAAAATACATTAGATAAGAAGTGATAATAGAAAAAAATGAGTGGAATTTGTCAAAAAAAAAAAAATAGACTTAATAATTACACGAATAACTCGACGAGGAGTCATAAGCAGACATTGTAAACATCAGTTAATGAAGTATAATATACTCGTACGAATGTAAAATTGTATTTTTACAAATATTAAACAATAATAATATAATATAATTATATTATATTATAAGTGATATTATATAATTTAATGTCTAGTAATGTGGGCAAGTGACTAATTGACATACAATTATTAGGGTGCAAATATAAATTATCTAAAAAAAATATTCCTTGACAAAATACTGAACTATAATAATATTGCAAAAGATATCTTAAAAAAATGTCCCGAAAAATTAAAAACTAAGTAAGAAAAATGTAGTGAATATAGGTAATATAAAATTTAGATGCATATAGTACGTTGTATTTTGTGTTTCATTATAGCACTGGCCAATCAGATAATATTTAATATTTTTAAATAATAAACTTCAATGGTTATCGACGAGTGTTAATTTTTATCTTGAGAAACTTCGTTTAACTCCAACTGAAGTCACAGGATCGAACATAATACGTAATAAAAATAGAAATATTATTAAAATAAATTATGTTTAATTATTTTCATTTTTATGTTTTCTGATGTATGAAACGAATTTTGTGCTTGGAAAGCTATGTTTTAGAACATTGAGAAAAATTTACGATTTGCATTTAAATCAGCGTCATCCCTAGTAGTTATTTACTTTAAAAATAACATGTCATACTCGCTTTGTCGCTTCGATATGAATTTATGATGCAGGTAAAACTAAAAATATACACCATGTTTAAATTCCAGATTAGTAATTAGTTTTGAGAATTTCTGTTTTAATTTTCAAATTTATGCTTTGAAATTTTAAATGTATATAATTAAGAATATTTTAAGATCAAGGTTACTCCGGGCCTCTACACAGGTTTCTCTTAGCGGGGTCCAGTAAAGGCCCTTTGATATTAAGTTAAATAAAATCACGAAAATAAAACGAAATAATATTGACGTAAAATACTTTGCTTTAATTGTTAGCGTTTTGTGCAATGAAAAAAAAAAGAATTGTAATTATCTTAAATACGCGTTGAGCCCGATAATAAACGATAGGGACCTAATAATAATAGTCACGTACCGCGTCGCCCGTCGGAATAATTTCATTTTTTTTATTACTCGACGGTGAGGTTAGAGTTTTCCTGGCACGCGACCGACCGATTTCCCCTCGCTTTTCCAACCGCAAAGTCGACGATAATAAAATATTAAAGTTACAAAAAAATATTTAAAAAAATACCGTGTACCGTACCGTTTTTTGGTCGTATTTCACCTCCGTTTTTCGCACCGACCGCGGCCCGGACGGCCGGCAGCAGCAGCAGCATGGATAAGACGAACCGGTGGCGCATAGTGTCTGAGCATTCGGATGTCACTGCCGGTAATCACTCGAACACACACGCACTACTCGTCGGCCATCGGCGGTTACCTTTCCCTCCACCCGGTCGCCAGCGAACGCAACAACAACAACAACAATAATAATAATAATAATAATGAATATTATAATATTATTGTCATTAATATGTTATCGTGTGCCGCGGTCGTCAATAAACGAGACGTTACGGATGTGCTACAGGGTGATCGTCGGTTTTTTTTTTTTTAAATCACTATTATGGGTGCGGCCATTTATAGTTACCTACTCTGTAAATTTATGTGTTTTTGAAAAAGTATCGCGATTGTACTGTAGAGGATTTCATGTCATCGTCACAACATGTCTTACATTTTTATTTATTTTCTTACTGCGTTTTAAAACTATTTATAAACGAGGCAACATGCACTTTTTAAATTCATTTTCCGAAACATAGTAATGTACTGCTCTGAAAGTTTTGACGCATACAAATCGAATAACGAACACAGCTGGTGTAAGCGCTTAAATTTTGGATGAGCGAAGCGAAGTGGAGGGACATCCCGCAAAATGACAATGATACTCCGCTCATCATCTAAAAATGTAAACACTGTCGACTAGTATTTTGGAATTCCATTTTTATAATTATTTATCTTTCTTATCAAAATCACCGTTTTTTTTCTAAACAATTGGTGTTTCGGTTTGAAATGATTTCAAAAATAAAAATTACATCTAGCCATAGAAATGGACTATAACCGTTCACTGATAAAAAAATCACCTTGTATTTCACTATACACCGTGCGTATGCATTACGACGTCATGCATTATTCGTAACGCACTGCATTGGTCAGGTATACACGGTATTTACCGCCGGTGGTGGGGGCTATCAGGGTTAGACAAAACTACGACCGAAGTTGTGTCTCTACCGGGCCATACCAGCCGTGGGTCGCGGTCATCAAGAGGCTTATTCAAGGAAAAACTGTACAATTTACAATATCACAGCTTCATCAAGTAGTTGAAAATTTGATTTGTAGTCTGTGTCGAATATTGTTCCTGCAGAGATGACAATATGAATACAACATTTAAGTTTTGAGATTTGCACCATGGCACTGATAAGCTTTGGTAGCGTTTATCAAAATTATAATACATTTATAACAATGAAATTATGTAGGTATGTAATTAATTTTCGCCAGTCCCCGAGCATCGCTAGGGCAATGATGGATTTCTACCAAAATGTATCTTTCTATTTTTCCATCAACACTAATTTTTTTCAAATGAGATATTGACCATATTTTCACCAAAACAATTTTTATATTGTTAAAAAAAAAATGTAATATGCTATGCACTGTACAGTGCACAGTATACGCAGTTTATTTAAAATAATATCAAATATTGAAAAAAAGGTATAATTTATTATTTAGTTCCATGTTTTAATAAAATCATTTTTATATTAAAATTGTATATTATTATTATGTAATAAAAGTACTCTGCACCGTTACCCACGACGTTGTTAGTTGGTTGAATAAAATATTATAATATAGACAGTAAAGCATTTGTAAAAACTAAATAATATATTTTTTTTAATATAACAATACATTTTATAACGTAATTTTTTTTTGAATAAAAAAAATATGTATGGGTATATTATAAGTTTTTATTGTTTAGTTGAAGAATAAACTTTCTAATAATTTTTCTTTAAATACAAAATTAATAATTGTGCTACAACAAAACATGTTCTTAATAAATAAAAATTAAAAAATAAAATATGAATGTAGGTGGTATGTATTAAATTTAATATTTTTTTTTAACTGTAGTATAAAATATTATGTATTTTTAAATAATTCTTTGCTTTAAATACAGTAGAACCTTGTTAACTCAGTTTCAAGAGATTGACAAAAATTCGACTTATCGACATTTCAAGTTAACGAGGAGATTCAATTTATGAATAAAATTTAAAAATGTGAACCAGTGTTTACAACTCTGCTGTTCAACAGTTATCGAGTATGTTATTGTAGGTAACAAATAATAGATTAACTTTTTAATTGACTAATAGATGTGTTATATTTTAATTCAATAATAAATCATGGCATACAAAAAACGATTTTGAGTGGTGATATACAGCCATTACAGCACATTTGGATAAATGATCGAATTTAATAATTGAAAACAAAATTAATAAAAATTTCATGGCTGTAACTAGTGTAACTTTCACTTTTTCTTTGATTAAGGTAGAAAAACTTGTTGGGAATCTTCTGTTGACATTTTTAATGTTAGTTATGAAAAAAATGTTGTATGAATTTCTAATTGAAAAATTTACAAAATTAACCCAAATGTTGATGAAAAACAGAAAAAAAAAACACTTAAAATTCTAATAATTTTTTTGTTAATATTTTTATTATACATATTATGATAATATACAATTTATTTGTGATATTTATTTACTTATTATATAGGTACATACGAGTATATTTATTTTTTGTATTTATAATAGGTACTGTGTATATAGCACGTATTATTTTCTAAGTATAAAATCTGTCATTTTTTGATTGTTTATGGGTAGAATCTTCCAATACAACTATCTAAAATATGGAGTGCAGAAAATATCATGAACTTCTGACTGTTGCTGGGCGTATCTTTGAAGTTGATGTATATTACTCTCAGCTTGGGCCCGACGGATCGAAGGTTCAACTTCAAAAGGTTATACTTTATCTAATCTGTCACATACATTCAAGTTACTGAATCATAATACGTGGCTGGTACAGGATAATGAATAATGACTTTGACATACCTATTGAACAATTTGAAGTACCAAAATAAATTAACATGTTGGTACAATACTGAATGATAATAATAAATAATAATACTCGAGATATTGAAGTTATTTTATTTTCAATGGTAAATATTGAATTAGATTTGTTCTAATTAACGTAACATTTGTTTATTATTATTAACAATATTCACACGGACAACAACATAATAATTGTCTACAAAGAAATAGAAATACATCGAGAAAAAGTGTTAAGGAGGAAACACATAATTGTATCACTATTGTATTGGGAGAAGCCAATCAGTGTTAATAATGTTCTGATTAAAAATTAAATCAATTGAATAAATAGTTTGGTTTTTGTTGCTCATATAATTAAATTTATAATAAATCGATACTCGATTTTGAGAAATAGCTCAATGATCATATTACACGAACCTACTTGGCAAACCAAAAAAAAAAATTTAAAAAAATAATGTCTATTTGTTAATCCCTTCGTCGAACCTTTTCCTCCGCGTAAACACCACTGGACTGACTGATATAGGTACAGTAGGAGAATGCCATTTGAAACAATAACTTCAATTACAAAAGGCATCGCTTGTACATGTTTTTTTTCTTTATTTATTTTATTTCACTCCTATGCTTCATGAGTCCGCCATCAAGTCACACACCGCACACTGCACAGATACCGGGGAATTATATGGGATCATCGGTTGAATTTCGCGGATTTAGTTTGAAATTTATACGCGTGGCGGTGGTTGAGAGTGAAATGGAATTAGGGACAATAAACATATAGTACCTATATACAATATTATGTGTGTAATATGTGTGTAAATACAGAGTTGATATTTGTAAGGCGATGAATCCCATGCGTTTCGAACACCTCCCTATCAACAATTCACCCCCCCCCCCACACTTTCCACCATCACTACGAACCCCTATGGCGGATAATAATCAGATTCGCCATATTATAGAATGGGTTTTCAGACGATTCGACACTACTCCACGCACGGCAAATGGCTAACTAAATATAGTCCAAAGACGACTGTAGTTGTAGGTGTAGTGTTTTTTTTTTTTTAATCGTTTAATTAATAAATTATTCTCGTTCATTTAGGTAACAATAATCCATGCACGGACAACAGTGAAATCAAATCCGTCCGCGATCGTCGGTCGAATTAAGTTTTTTTGTAATGTCATTTCAAACCGTCGAAACAATACCGTGCTATTTTTCATTGCGTAGGCGTCGTACGGTTATTGTGGTTAAATTCAGTTTTCGTGTTCAGAAACGTCGTTTTTGATACCTAATTAGCAAACTTTGAAATTCAAACAAGGAAAATGAATTAATTATTGTTCAAGCGGCTGCTTTCTACCTATGTATGCGAATTAGAAATATTCACGGTGAATAAAATCTTTAGACCCAGCTTGGTTAATATTATGGCGTTTCTATTTCGTAAATAATTACAAAAGGAGTTTTGTTTTTATTTTGTAATAATATAAACGAATTTTTTTCTATCATACGAATGCGTACAGGCGCAATATTTGGGGTGTGGGGGGCTTGAGGGTGATAAGCACACACAGTTTTGAAATTAGCACCCTCGTAATATTTAAGTATGCCATTCTAACTGAAAAAAATAAGAGACTCCACAGCACCCCCAGGTTTTTCATTGGAATTGTGCCTCTCCGCATACATCATATCGAGGCTCACGAAGTCCATCTATTATAACAGCGTGGGGACTTGCACAAGTTTATTTTAATCTGCAGCAGTAAACTGATATAATTTATTTGAAGCTCATTGTGATACCATAAAACCGGGACCTTAAAATTCCGGGACGGTTTACTGTGTACCTGTAAAAGTTCGTGAAATAACCTAAAAGTCGAAATTTTTACAATCGACTGTACCAGCGACTGCAGTCTTCTCGGTCTTCGCTATTATATACGCGTACGATATGGCCCATTATTATAGCAGACCGCGTCAATGCTTGCTTCAGTGTACATCGTGTGTATATAATCCACTCGAGAGATGTGTACAATAATACTATGTTCGTGACATTTTAGTTATTGTGCGAATTTGTAGTGTGTTTCACGGGTGTGGCGGTAATGTGTGGTATTTGAAACATATTTTAATTTCGTTTTTGAACTGAACATACGACAAGTGTGATGGATAGTGTTATTTTTACTCTGTCGTTATTCTAAAATTGCAAAAAAAAAAAAATAATAAAGTGAATTTGCACAAAATCTAAAAATTAATTTTGGGGATTCGCACCACATAAGAATAGATAAAAGAGCATTATGTAG